AGGGGGTATAGGGAGGGCAGAGGGGAGGTGAGATCCTGGACCACAGCTCCTGTTTGGAAGCGGAGGGTGAGGGATGCACTTAAAAAGTGGGCAAAGGAGCCCCAAACCGAGGACTAAAGACAGCCTCTCGAAGGTAGAAAAGCAGGGAAACATCGTCTCCCAGAGCCTCCAAAAGGAATGCTGGCCTGCTCACCCTTTATTTGAGGACTTGTGACCTCCAGAAAAAGGGAGGGCAGTCGGCAGGATCTCACCTAACGTGCACAATGGAAGGGTGGTTGGCACGCCCCTCGAATGAAGGCTCAACTACAACTTGAACTTTACTTGAGGAATGAAAACAATGTAACCGAAACATTTGTGCCCTCATATCAATCTGAAACACACAACCAAACAATGGACAAAGCAAAGACTGAAGGAACCTGATGAGGTGCGGTACTCAAGTCAGAGCCCTTCCTCCCCAGCGTGGGAGGTCAGGAGCGCACACCTGCACTGGCTCAAACATGAACCTGGGGCCAGACAGAGCTCAGGGCAGCACCATCTTGAGGTGGCTCTGATGACGCAGGACTCTACACAGGATTTGCACACTACGGGCCATAGGCCAAAATCCTATTTTGGTGATGTGGCTGCCACTTATTTTTGTAAATGAAGTTTCATTGGGACCCAACCATGGCCCCTTCATTTCCCTGTTGTCTATGGCTGCTTTTGTGCTCTGAGCACAGAGTTCAGTGGTCATGACAGAGACAGTGTGGCCCTCAGAGGCTGAAACCAGGGTCAGCTTCATGAGCCTACAACCCTGGGGCCTTAGTTTCAGCATCTTGAAAATTTAACCACTTTTTAACAAAGGTTTTTTGTTTTCACCCTGGACCCTCAACTTACATAGCCAGAAGGGCCTAAATTATATTTACTCTATGGCCCTACTATTGGCCCATTCCTCTAGTTTTCCAGTTTGGGATCCTTTTCACTTCTTTACCTTTAATGCTTCTGGCCCCAAGACCCCTGCCCCTTTCTGAACCATATTGTGACATCTCTGGAAAACTGCAACGCACTTCTTTCTGGTACCCTTAATAGTAACTTACCAGCTATCATTCTCGAGGAGGGCAGCAGAGCTCCAGGGCCAAACCAAGGTCTGCCACTTACTGACTAGCCCTTGGGACCACCCGGAATAAACCTCATCCCTTAAACCTTCAGAGACTTGAGTAAAGTTCTTCTGCCCCTCCCCCTTAGTCGTCTCCTCTGCAACCCAAATTCTCCTGTTTCCTACAAGACATGTTTCAAGTTCCTGCACCATCATACTCACCCTCCTTAGATATGCTCTAATTTACCTAGACCCCCTCTTAAAACACAGAGCCTGAAGAAGGCTCCAAGTATAGTCTCACCAGGGCACAGAACAGTCCCCTCCACCACTCTAATGGTGTATCTGTTCATGCATCCCGACCTCACACTGTCTTTTGCAAGGGAAGCCATTCTAGAAAACTTAAAATCTCTGATGGTAGGAAAAGACGGTGCTGCTCTCTTTACAGCCATGAGTAAACTGAAGTTTGGAAAGGAATGCCCTGCTCATGGGCTCTCCCTTCTATTAACCAAGAATTTTGGACCCCCAATTTCTTTACCTATAAAATGGGAAAGCCGGACCTCTTCCAGCTCTAGCATAGTGTAGTTTGTCTTCTAAAATGCAGGCCCCGAAAGCCAAGTCATGAAGAAAATAGAAGCTCTCAGCGTAGATATAAAACTCCTCCACGGACAGAAGTTTCCCTCCTTGCTCATTTTTGTAGACCTGCCCGCTGGGGAAACGGTAGCATGAAGGACAAAGCTGGCTGGTTAATGGCAGCCCTCATCGGACGGCTCACTAAGTGCCGTGACTTCCTCAGAGAGGCAGCCTATGTAATCCTCCACTGCCACCTTCACGAATTTATGTCCACCTGCACATCCTATTTTCAAAATGTTTTTCTCTGCCTTTTCCTTCCCGAGGCAAACAACAAAAACAAACAACAAAACGCCCTTAAAATGAGAACACAAAGTCCTCCATAAAATCACAGACACCAAATGGGCTTGGGAAATCACTCTCCTTAACTGTGTTCTCTTATTAGATGCATCACCCCAGGGGGGACTTGAAAGTTTCACCTTTCTGTGAGTTATCTTCCTAACATTTTTGCCCCAGGTTCCCTGGGCCTTTGCGTGGGGCACAGATTCACACGTGAGGGACTGTGCAGGCCTTACCACCCGCACTTGACTAGGGAGAACGTGGAGGCTCCGAGAGGTCACAAACCCCATTAGTGACTGAGCCAAGAAAAGACTAATGGTCCCTGACTTGAGTGCTCTTTCCACCAGCATTGTCTCGGAAATAGGACTGTTATTAAGGAAGTGAGAGATGCTTTCTCTGCCTCTGGCGTCTGGCCTTTTCCTCTCTGCCGCTCTGATTCCAGTCATCCTTCTGGCCCAGCTAAAGTACAGGTCCTTCCTCTGAAATTCAAAATGTGTATTGGTTGTCCCACCCCTTTGGCACTCAGCACTGATCACCAGCTAGAGGCAGCAGTGACCCTTTCATGTGACAAGCCAATTTCTGCACTCCAAGGGTGCCGCAGCTTGGAACCAGGCACACGGTGAATCTCAACCAGTGGTAGTTACTGTTGTGATCAATTATCACTCATTGTCCCAGTGAGTGAATGTGAAACAAGCTACCTGAAAATTCAGTGACATAAAAAGAAAAATTATGGTGTCCATGGATATGCAGACAGGGCTCAGAGAGCACATTGTCTCTGTCCGTGGTGTCTGGAGCGTCAGCTGGAAAGTGTGGAGATTAGTGGTGACCGAGACTGGGGCCTGGCATTACCTGAAGCATTATTTGCTCTCACTCCTGACGGTGATGTGTGCTGACAGCTGGGGGCTCAGTTCCTCCACGGGTGGTCTAGCCACCTGGGCTAGTGTGAGCTTCCTCACAAGATGGCGGCCGAGTTCCCAGGGCAGGAACCTTCAGAGGAAAAGGGCAGGAATCTGTTTAGGGAAGGCATATGGATTCTACCTCTTGGTAGAAGGAGTTTCAAGTCCATCGTAAGAGCACAGACCTGGACATCTTTGGAAATCGCGACCTTCTGTCATCATTATTGTCATCTTCCTATTACTTCCCCTTTAGCAGGAGCCTCTCCAGGTGGCTCCTCCATCCCTTGTGACAGTACTGCTGCTGGCTGGCCCACCTTTTCTCCAGACATATTTGGTCCTGCTGTAGACAGAGCTCAATCTCAGGCTCAGATCCCTGCTGTATCCCACATGAAAAGAAGCAGCAACATTCTTTCTTTGTCTGTTTAATCTCCTTGCGGGATAAGATACGTGTACCGAGGACTAGGGAGACCTGGAGACCCAGACGGGGCAATGGGAAAAAAGTAAAGTGAGAGAGGGGAAAAGTCTCTACCTTGTTCAAAACACTATTATTTTTGCATCCTTATTATTAACACTGCTACAAAGAGAGGCTTTATTACCATCAGCTTTCTGATTAGTCTTCCCATCTCGAATTCCCCCCTGCTCCAGTCCACTCTCTGCCTGCCCACTAGGGAGCCTCCTCCCACACATATCTGATAATGATCCTCTCATGCTCTGAAGCCTTCCAGGGCTTTCTGACGCCTTGATACATCCACACTCTTTAGCATGCCATTTGGGATAGTTCACAGCCAAGCCCAAACTGAGCCACGTCTCCTTCCTGCCCCACCCTTAACCCCAGACACCCCAACCTTTCAGCCGATACTACTCCCTCAAGTCTGCAGTCCCACAACCTGGAGTGTCCTAGGGGGTCAAGCCCCTGCTTGTCCTTCAATATCTAACTCAAGAGCTACCTCCTATAGGAAACCTTCCCTGACGCACTCAGAGTAAGCCATTGCCACCTATGGACTTCTAAGGCAAGCTTTGTGTAAAATATTTCTGATTTGTAGCACTTGCCACACTGTATTTATAATCTTTTTTTTTTAATTGATGTCCCCCTAGACTGGGAGCTCCTCAAAGCAGGGGCAGAGCCTTCCTGGTCTGTTTATCCCCAGCCACTGGCAAATTCTGAATGAAGGAGGAGAAGGACAGATAAATGGGTGCCCAGACCCTGGCCTGTGGAGACATAGACTCTTCATTTCCACACTGCCTGTGCCCAGGTGACAGATGAATGGGCAAGGCACAGAAAATCTGAGCAGACATGTAGGAGAGGTACGCCCCATTAGTGCATGTGGGGTGTCTGCAGCCCAGTGACATCCCAGGAGCTGTCATTAGGGCAGGGTTAAGGGCAGGTAGGCATGGACGTCCCCCCTGCCCCTTCACCTACTCATCAAGAGGGCTGAGGAGCAGCGGTCCCATGGGGGGTCTCATCCCCAGCCCCACCCCACACCTCTGTCCATCAGCTACCCCTCCAGGGGGAAGCCCCAGAAACGGGGAACCCTCAGACCTGCTCAAGGCCATCAAAGTGCAGGGCCAGGAGCTCACAGTCCAACCAGAACCCCTGCTAGCAGACAGCATCTCCAGCTCCTGAAGCACCCCCTGCACCAGCTCATCTCCTCCTCTCCACAAAGGTAGGAAGAGCCCCAGCCATTATCATCATGTCCCCATTTTACAGATGAGGGCATAGTAGCCCAGAGAGGTGAAGTGTGCCCAAGACCACATGGCCCACCAGAGCTAAGGCCAACCTCACAGCCTTCCTCGGACAGCTGCTCGACAGAGGAGCCCAAACTCTGACAGCGGTGGGACAAATTCCAGGGGCCCCATGGCAATAGCCTGGCCACCTTGGTAGCACACAGGTGCTCCCAGGCTCTCTGCTTCCTCGCCTGAAGCCCAACACCCTGCAGCAGCCCCCTTTAAGGAGTGCTCAGCCTTCCAGAAGAGCTCCAGTCTTAATTTTAGCTTGGAGGCCTGCCACAGTAGGCTTTAGCCAGAGGCAGGCTGAAGTTATGTGGGACAGCTGTCAGCCGGCATACTGGGTGGGGCCTATTTAGCCTGCAGGGACACAAGTCTGGGGACACTGAACTGGTCTCTCTGCCCCAAGTACTTTCAGCCCCCGCTGGTCACACTGCTCGGCTCTCCTCCTGCCCCCCAGCTCTGAGATGATGGGTGAAGAGCGCACAGACCTCGAGGCCCAGATCGTCAAGGACATTCACTTCAAGGAGATTGATCTGGTGAACCGAGACCCCAAGAACATTAACGAAGACATAGTCAAGGTAGGCTCTGCGGGCCTGTCCCAGCAACCCCGAGGGGGTCAGTTTTGGCCCCCAGGTGCTCGGCAGGGGAGGGTTTCTGTTGCAGGGAACAATGGGTACCCTTCAAAGAGACCTTGTTTTGCTCTGTCTTCTCCAAATCTCCCCTTTAGAAAAAAAAAAGGTTTATAAACTCCCAGAGGACCATGAGCATAATCAAGAGCAAAAAATTAGCCACATACACATGGTCCAAGAATTGATAGGGGCAGGGAAGGCAAGTCACAGAGAAAACCCCTCCTTACTACTGTGGGCTCTCGCCACCCACGCTGGCCCTCATCCTGGAGGGAACGGGAACGGGTGGCCCAGTTGGGCTCTATTGCGTGCCAGGAGCCATTTCTGCGGTCTCCTCAGTGAGTGTGGGGTTAATCCCCAGAGGGCGGCTTCCAGCAGGGCTGGCAGCCCCTGGACATGCCCCCACTCCCTGCACCCTCCCACTGCCCAGCCTCTGTCCCCCACAGCTAGGGGCTGTGCCCCAGACCTTCCCTCAGGTCCCGCTCACTCCAGGTCCTGCAGCCCCCTCAGGGCGAAGGCCATTCAGAGGGCACCTGGGTTCCTGAAAAGGGAATGGTAGGAGTTGTCCAGCCTCCAAAGAGTGTCCCCATGGCTGCTGCTTGAAGTTGGGCCTCTTTCTGTGCCTGGTGACATTAGCAGCCTGGCTACCCCCAGGCCCACATCTTCAATCCAAACTCCATCTGGTACCCAGAGGGATCTTTTAAAAGCAGAACTCTGGGTTGGCACCTGTGGCTCAGTGAATGGGGCACTGGCCCATATACCAAGGGTGGCAGGTTCGAACCCAGCCCTGGCCAAACTGCAACAAAAAATAGCCGGGCGTTATGGCAGGCGCCCACAGTCCCAGCTACTCAGGAGGCTGAGGCAAGAGAATCACCTAAGCCCAGGAGTTGGAAGTTGCTGTGAGCTGTGATGCCGCAGCTCTCTACCGAGGACAATAAAGTGAGACTCTGTCTCTCAATAAATAAATAAAAGCGGAAATCCTTGAAGCAGGATCTCAGTCACCACCATCAGAGTCACTGCCAGGGCTGTTAAGGGGACGGGTGCTGGGGCCTCCTAGGTCCTACTGAATGTGCTGGATACAGTCCAGTGTCAATATAGCTACCCCTTGGAATTTTAAGTTTTCTAATAGCCACATTTAAAGAAGTAAAAGCAAACAGGTAAATTAATTTTCATGATTGTTTTCATTTAACTGTACGAATCTAAAACAGTATCATTTCAAGGTATTGATATACAACAATGATTAATGAGCTATTGTACAGTTTTTCTTCATCTTCCAAATCCAACGTGTATCTTATCCTTAGAGTACGTCTACATTTGGGCTCTAAATTTTCATCAGAAATACTTGTTCTGTACTGTATGTAGAATGCATAAAAGGTACAGGTGAAAATCAATTCACATGCCCAAGTTGTTCCAAACATTCTCCAAAGTTTTCCAAAAATGGAACCAAGTGCCAGTCTGAATTTTAACTAAGGTTGAACACACTTTATAATTCTTTAGTTGCCACCTTTTAAGTGCTCAAGGCTCAAAGCCCTATATTAGATGGTGTGGTAAGGACTTGTTGCCATCCTTCAATGGGACACCTGTCTCACTGCATAAAGCCTAATCCAGGGGTCCTCAAACTTTTTAAACACAGGCCAGTTCACTGTCCCTCAGACCATTGGAGGGCTGGACTGTGGGCCTTGGGACAAGTCGGCTGCTAAGCAGGACAGGCAGTGGGGGCAAAAACACTTGGCGGGCTGGATAAATGTCCTAGGCGGGCTGCATGTGGCCCACAGGCCATAGTTTGAGGACGCCTGGCCTAATCTCTCCAGGTGGCTTTCCCAACCTAACGCAATCTGGTCCTAACCTGCTCCTTGTGCCTGATTTGCTCCCACCAATACACACCCCTGTGCTTTTGCCAGGAGTGCCCTCTTCCTCTCCTCCACATGGCCAATGCCCCATTCAGCCTTCAGGGCCCTGCTCAAATGGCACCTTCTCCAGAAAGCCTTCCCTGATCCTCCAAGCACTCAGTTGTTCCCTCCTCTGTGCCCTTCCTTTACTCAGGGCGTTCTTCCATAACACTTTATACTGTGCTGTATATGACATTTCTATAAATCACTAGCATTTGAGCTAGGACATGTGTGTATTATAGCACAGTGTGAATACTGCAATGGGGAAATTAGGGAGCAAGGTCCATGAGCAATAAAGCCCTATATAAATATAAGATATAATGAGTCGTGGCTTCTACAGTGAGATTCAACAGGAATAATCCCAGACGTGTCTTTAACACATCTGATTTGAAATCCATGCTCTTTTTCCTAAAAATAATAACACTGGACAAGGCACCTCAGCTTTCTGAGCCTCAGTTTCCATCTGTTAAATGGGGATAATATCATTTACCTCCACCAGGAAAATGACTCTCAGAGCAGAGACATGCCATAGAAATACAGGGTAGGGATTAAATGAGATGAGGGGGTTGAAGGTGTCTAACACAGTCCCCAATAAGAGGGTCACAATTGTGAGCAGAAGAGGGTCCTTGAGGGACTTGTAGTCTGTAGGACAAGAGAACTAAGCCAGGAGCCAGTGCCATGCTCAGGGGACCATCTGGTGGGCCCTGGTGGCTGCAGGGGGTTGGGGAAGGGGACCCCATGGGAGAATGTGGCTTCTAAAGGACATCCACAACAGCTGAGGAGCAGAGAAGGGTCTTTCAGGTGCTCCTGGGCCAGGAAGGAGAGACTCCAGGCCCGGGCCCACACATAACAAGGGGGAGGGGGGGTGGGCAGGGCCACAGTGTGAGGCAAGCTCTCCCAGAGGCCCTGAGCCCCAGAAAAACTGCACTCAGAAGCCAGACAAGAGGACCGCAAGTAATTCTCACCAGAGCAGATTGTTATTTGGCTTTATTGGACATTCTCTAGTTTGGGAAGTTGATTTTTTCTTTCTCTTATTTTTAATGATTGAGAAATGGAAACGTTTAGAGCTATAGAACCAGGATCATAGAGCAGTCAGATAAATACCACACACCAACTCAAGTAGACGCCAGGTCTGTGTCACAGACTGTTAAGGAATGAAGGAAAGGAAGAAAGGGAGGGACACGGGCGGCCTGTCTGAGCAGGGCAGCCCCCACATCACCCAGAGTTTGTCATAGACTGGGGAAAAGACAAGAGAGAGGGACAGGAAGGCAGAGGGAATGAAGGAGACAGAGGGACACCGAGAAGCAAGACGCAGGCCAACAGGAAGACTCACAAGGCCCTGGCGGGGCCCATAGGCACCTGTCAGGATGGGCTCCCAGGGCAGGGGGGCAGGAGGCTCCTCCCATGGCTAAAAATGAGTGACGTGGAAAGAATGGGGAGGTGGGACCCTGCCACAGAGTCTTGAATTCTGGTCACAGTCCTGACCCGAGCTTGCTGTGTGACTCTGGAGAAAATCCTTTTCCTTCTTTGAGCCTGAATCCTTGGTATAGATGTAGGTGGAGTGGAAAAGAGGGAGACCTTGTCCCCTCTGCCACCGGCTGCTCAGGTCTCACACGTAAAGCCCAGGAGGATGAAGAGCAGGAGACAGGCCCCCTGGGCTGGGGCTTTGACCCCCGCAGAGGGGAGGCCCTCCCTTTCAGTGCTGCCCTTCAACCTAGGCTAGAAAATGAGAGCGAAAGCAGAGCAAGACCCCTGTGCAGCCCAGCCAGCTTCCACTGTGCTCCAAGGGCAGTGTGGAAGGTGGGGGGGCCTACAGCTGAGGAGGAGAGCACACCCCGTTTCCTTTGTCACCCTCCTGGCCGACATCAATGCCACAAATTGTGACTGAGCACCTACTGAGTGCCCTACACTGTGCTGTCCCAGAGGACACAGTAATGAGAAGGACAGACCCACTGTGTGCAAGTCCCACCAGGCTGGGGCTGCCAAAGGTCCCCGGGGCTCTCCACTCACTGGCAGAACCTGACAACACTTCTCTCTTCAGAACCAAGTTGGGAAGGCTCAAGTCTAGCCCCATGCCTGCCTCAGGACCCCAGCCCCACGCAAAAGTCCCCCCAAGTTGTTTCTGAAGAGCCTGTGAGGTCTCAAGGACTGACTCACTGACAGCCCTCTTCCGTTCTCCCAGCTCACACTTAGGCTCCAGGCCCTGAGGCAGTAATGGTTGTGCCCCAGTGTCACACAGGTCCTCCGGCTTTGGAATTCAGCTCCTCTTTCCTCAGGTGCTCCAAGTTGAGGCAGGCAGACAGATGGCATCCCAGCTTCCCCAGTATACCTCCAATATGCTAGCTCCATCTGCACCCACATTGGCCACAAAACACCTGCCTCTTTCAGCTCAGGCCAGTGAACACTCAGAGGACCAGCTCTGCCAAGTCCTGCTCCTAGTGTGGGCCCATTCATTTACACAAAATCAAAATGAACCTGATTATGGTTCCTCCCCCCTTGAAAATGAATCCAACCTAACAGACAAGACCAGAGTAATGAAAATGTGCAGAATACAGTCGTAAATTAATGGCAAGTGAAGTGTCATGGGAAGTTAGGGGAGGAAGAAGTTACTTTCATGGAGGAAAATCAGGATCCAGCTTTATGGGGAGGTGCAAGGTGCATAATAAAAATCAGAAAACCTTATAATGTGAGATAGAGGGCAAGGCTTTCCAAGAGGAAGAAACAGAATAAAAAAGGTATGGATTTTTTCACAACACTGGGAAGAATGTGGGCTAGAGTTGTAAATGTAAGGAGTAGATGCTGCCACTGCCCCTTCCCCTGTTCATGCAGATGTTACCAATGGATCACGGCACTCTTTCAGGAAGCCATGCCCCATTGGCTAGTCAGACTTGGCACAACAGATGAAACCTCTTTTCTGCTTTTTCTGCAGGAGAAGAATGACCTGTCAGATGGGATTAGTATAGAACACCCAAAAGGGAATTTGTGGGAGAGAAGCCAAAAAAGGCAGGTTAAGGCTGGATCATGGAGGGTCATCCAACCTCCCAGTCATTCCGCGTTGTCAAT